TTCATGCTCTCCCTCCTTCTAAAAACTTTGTCCGGAAGTCAATTGATATTATTCTCATTACATTTCTCTACAGTCCATTCCATTTAATGGAAGTCTGTTGCTTGACCGATCTTATCACTAGGACTTGTGAAACCAGGCTCTGGTACCACAGATTTTTCTAGGAACTATTTTTGGCGGAGTTATTGGTAATCACCCAACAGCTCACAGTACTAATCTCAGAGCCTCTGATTAACTAACACTCAGCAGATAACTTTGATGCATAACTTCTAAAGATATGACTCATCAGGCTTCTTTTCTAAAGACTGTTTTAGCTTATGTTATTTCATTAATCCTTCTCTGATTTACTTCTCTCACCTGAAGCTCTCTTTTATGCTACAGTTCAGTGTTGACATACAGATCACAAACAGCAGAATTTCCATTCGCTGAATTCAGTTGCATACTATAGTTAACTGGTAATTCATTGTGTACTGGACCATGCCCAAGAATATTTGTAGAACAGTAAATTAATAAATGTAACTCACTTTTTGTATTCAAAGTAGTGTTCAGCAATTTTTTCATCCCAGACAATTTTTGGTTTGTGCTCCTTCAAGGTTTCAATGTACCTACAAATTAAAAACATAGATATCAAATTAACTTTCCTAAAAAGCAGTTATGAAATTACATTGCAGAAATTTCTGAAAAAGCAGTTTTACCATGTTTAGATGTTGAACACTGTATCAAAAATATCTTCTCGCTGACAATTAATTTCCTCAGCCATTTTACAATTTGCCATGTTTGCATTTTTAGGCTTTTTATTTTTTTTAAAGCAATGAATTGAAGTTCATCAATTGACAAATCTATAAAGGCACATGAAGGCAGTGCTTCAATGTTTCTACAGTCTGATTCCTATATGCCAAAGCACAGGAACTGAAGTCATCCCTAAGCTGTACCTAATTGTGTCCTCCAAGGCTAGTTAATGCAATTATTATAAGCCACTATTATGTGATCAGAAAAATTCTTCTATAAAATTAAGATCTTCTAAAAGTGAAATTTAGAAAGTTTTTTCAAGGAAAAGTTACTGCTAAGTAACTCTGCACATGAATTTTCTCCACCACTAGCTTCTTGGCATTATTCTCCTGCATGGACATTTTGAACGTGAAATGACCTACCTCATCATACCTGACACAACGTGAGGACAGAATACTACTTGTACCCAAAAAACTGCATAGGGAACTGGTGTGGAATAGTTAGTATGCTGTAAATTCATGTTCTTGGTTAACTCACAGTATCGTCTCAATGCAGATACAACCTTCTATTTTTGCAAAATCTATCAAAACCATCTCTTCACAATATGTCTCATTCTTGCAGTAATTTCTCTGCTTATGACAGGATTTGCATAGAGAAATTTGCCTTCAAATCATCTTATTTTTAAATAAGAAATTTCTATCTCCTATGTAAAAGATGTTATAACTGATTTCCATCAGCCACTATCCTGACTCGATCAGTGCTGAAATTCCACTTCACTATATACTTAAAAAAAAAAAAAAAAAAAAAAAGAAAAGAGAGAAAATGTTTGTATTTCTCAGTTTGAAAAATATTTATTCTCTCCTTCAGTATTATTCCAAATGCAATTACAACATTCAGTATTGCAGGGAATATCTTCTCTCTTTTGCTGTGGCTTGTTCATTCATATATTGGTAAACTGTTGCCTACTGCTAGCAGTTTTAGAAAAGATTTTCATTTTGTATTTAAGTCAAATGAACCCAAGCCAGACATGCTATTTAAGTATCTACATAAGCAAACACATGGTAGCAGCTATTGCACTCTGCCTCAATACACACATGCTCTGGAACAATGGACTTTTTCAAATAATGCAAGTTAAACCTTGGAACCTGCCCATCCCTTTTTAAGATATACAAAATTTTAAGTTTCAAAGAGATCTAGTTTTGTATATTTACAATTTAAGGATAGCTTTTAACACCTCACCCCATTACAGAATGGCGACTTCAGTAATGACAGGAGACAACACTCATGTGGAACATGGGACCAAGATGTTACAGCCCAGAAGAAAAGAATTACAAGCCAAGGCATCCTGGCATGCATTTTTATTCCTGAACGTATGACTTTCGATGGGAAACCCTGATTTTGCTTGCTAAAAATCCCAACGCAATTAAAGAGTGTTCAACATACATATGAACAAGCTTTAAAATTAGAAATGCAGCTTGAAGCAATTATTATAGCAATTATTATACATAAGGATGATGATGATGATGTATTATTATTATTATTATTATTATTATTAAGCTGTTCAGGCATGCACCGCCTGACCAGGCATAGAGAATTGATTTCCCTTTCTCCTGCCTCTAGGCATTTATCACCGTGTTATATAAAAGCAAAAATGAGTAAGTTCATCTTCGAATCACATCTATGGTGATGAGACTAGCTCCGAGCTTGAGTTGGGGAAAAAAGAAATATTAGGCCCAAAATTGTCACTACTATCCATTAATTTTGGGGGACCTACTTGAAACATATTAAATCAGTTTTTACATTGTCTCTATTAAGGTCAACAAAAATTCAAAGTACAATGTTCAAACCAATAAGCTCCCACTTATTTCAACTGCAACTGCATAATCAATGCTTCTGAAAGTCAAGTTTTATATTTTTCAACCAGACAACAACGTTGCGGTGAAGAGTCTGGAAGAGGTGCAGCAACAACCAGAGCTGTTTCACATAGGCTTTCTTTTGCCCTAACCTGGCCATTACCTTCCCGTAGTCATCTGCCCCAGTCACTATTCATTTTATTGCAGTAAAACATACAGGAGCTTTACAGGCAACATTTCCCAGATATGCCATATCCCTGTTATCTCTGTGCTATCCTACTATGTCCATCAAAAGCAGAAGGGTTCCTGTGTAAAACTGTAGCACCTGTATCACAACACACTTGCTTGACTCAAACTAATGCTTACCCAGGCACTCTTAACATATTAGCTCCTAGCTGAGGCAGTATTTGACTCAACAAATTTTTAATACACAGTTATTAAAAAAAAAAATTTAAAAAAAAAGCTGAAAAGAGAAATTTTCCATCACACTGAACCAGACAAGCATGGGATATTGGTATGCCTGTGGTACAAAAGATCTAGATTCATTTCCAGGTTCTCAAAGAAGAAAAGGGATGGGCAGGGAGCTCATTGCAGCCAGCCTTCCTTCTTCTTTCCGCCTCCTGCCTCATTCTTCTCTTTCTGACTCATATTTATTGCTATTTTTCTCTCCTCTCTTTGTACTGCCACTGTCCCAGTTTGCATCTGTTTTTATACTCTTATCCAGTCTCATTTATTTGCTTCCTCATCCCTCAGCTCCTAACTTACTAGCTTTCTTCTTTTACCAAGCTGCCTCAGCAGTTAAGAGCACAATAAACACTGAAAACTCAGCTTCACTGCCTTGCACTACATATTTGCTGGAAAGTTTGCGACCATTTGCAGAGAAAGTCATGCTGCTTCTTTGGTTCTAGCCTGAAATGAGGTAAGCATGGAAGAAATCTGGAGCACTGATGGTAGTCTCTAATGAAGCGCCAATGCAGCATGTATAAATGATAAATTTGCACGGATTATCAGGAATAGTAACAAAAGGCAGATATCACCTGCACGTCCACCTTGCAAATACTTGTTCTTAAACAGAGAACTGCCATTCTGACTTGTTTAAATAGGTGTTGGTTGAATTTACCCACAGCAACGTTTTTGTTCCCCAGAACATTCCTTCTCAATAATAACTAAGCAGCTCGAGTATCAATTCAGTTGTCACAACTCGGCTTTGAAGTTTAAAAGTTACGACCTAGCGAAAACACGGCCACATAACGCAAAAGTGTTTGGAAACGATTTCAAGTCTGCCTGCCACCTTTCATACAAGACTTCAAATCTGCAGGTTTTTTACTGCAATTTACTGCCATACTTCTGTCAAAAAGGACACTTCTTGGTCTATAGGCATTGACTTTTATTCTTATGACTGATACTCCTGGTTACAAACCCACTGGGCAGGGTTGGACTAAAACAAGCATTCCCTTCCACAGAGTAAATGAGAAACCAAAATGTACACATTATGGAGCACCTGTAAAGTCAGCTTTGCCAAAGATGTGTATCTATGAACAACACTAATATGGCTACACCTACACAGTATTGCACTTCGCTGCACATTCAACTAATAAATAAAGGATGCAGAAGAAAGGTTCTCAGGATTTATGGCTGGTGCTCCTTTTCTAAGACGCTTTTCTTCCAAAACATGAAAAATGGTATGGCACTGGAATATGTGAAGGTAAAACCCACGATCTATAGTCCTCCTGAAGAAGGTATTTATCTTCATGGAGAATGTTTTTTTCACCAAGAATATAAAGAAACAAGTCTCTAGTATATCTTTTGCAACAAGAATATACATACTAGGAAAATATATAGCTTCATATATCATTTTTAGACGAGGATTTATTTACAAAGGTTAACTTTTTTAATCCTCAGGCGCTTTGCTTTACTAGTCCTGAGTTACTCTTGAACAAAAAAGCTTTAGTGAAAAGTAAACCACTACGGAGCATACATCCCACTTTGATGCTCTTTTCTAACACTTTACATTTTCTCCTCATTTCTCACATGAAGAAAACTCTGACTGGAAGCAATAGATCTCTAATCAGGTGAAAGGATCATTTGTTCCTGCTGCAGCAAACTGAGCTTATCTTCCACTATAGCAAACTTTAGTGATTCAGTCAAAGGATAAAACATACTATTCAGATTGAAAATCTATACCACACATTTTCTTTTCAGTCTGCTTCAGTTACAACAGACTTAACTTAGTTATTAAACCCTGAACCTATCAGGAATTGCATCTCCGTAACTGACCATCAACAATGCCTATGCATTGCAACGGATGTTTTAGACTCAACTAGATAGCGTCCATCTTCCCCCTTTTCAGGGAGCCATGTCTCTTAATAAAAGAAATCACATAAAAGGATGTATTCTAGAGCTCAAGATTTTACATTTCTGATGCAAATGAAATATAAAGAAATAACTACAAAACAGTTTTCACGGTGATACTCCTAAGGACTTTCCCTATCTTGGTAGTTGTCTTTCAAACAGTACTGATCAGTCTCCCCACTGCTCTGTGGACATCAGGACACTGTGTGAAAGGGCAAATACCCATCTTTGAAATGAGATTTTTCAGAGGGGAGATATATATATATATGAATATATATATATATATATAAGCTGTAAATCAACCCCTCTTTTATTTGATGTTTAATTTCAACTACCACAACACTTTCACATTTTAGTTATTCAGGCTTTTCTTAAACTATTTCCTTTTTGGTGGGAGAAAATGTCAAGAAACAATATAATCGGGAGACATTTTTCAACTTTAAATTGAAAAGGTTTCAAAACTGAGAATTTTTTTTGGCCTTCCCTGCTTTTTGGAAGATCATTTCTAAAGAACAGCTGCAAAATTGCTGAATATACTACAAGCTACTAAATAATTCAACCGTGAAACTAACAGTTTTTATAAAGGATGCCTTCAATGGTAAGAATTGAAAACAAAAAAGGAAGAAAGTTTGAAAAAGAAAAAAGATTGTATCAAGATTTTGGGTTCTCAC